AGGTGCCCCAGGTGGGGGGGGGGGGGGGGGGGGGGCGGTGACTGATGACTCATACTCATACTCACCCTGGTTTTCCTTCCTAAGCGTTTATTGCAGAAACTCTGGAATTAAGTTTTTTACTGAAATGTTTTGTAAAATGGAGACCCCAAAGGTTAACTCTGTGTCCAGAATGAAAATTAAAATGATCATGATGATAACCTAACAAATAGGGCTCTCTTTGGAAAGTGTTAGTTGTCCAAACGTCTCTTCCTGTCTACTTATTTAATTTCAATTTTCTAATCTAAAACCTCTCTTTGAAGCAGAGAAGATAGATCCCTTGCCCAAATGGCCAAAGTAGTAATGATATTCAGAGCAGATGGCCTGGCTTTGTTCATCCTAGTCAAGGACTGACTCGGATTTGGAAGGCGAGATTTCTGTGTGCTTTCTCAGTAATCAGGCGATAACACCATTTTCCTATAATAGTAAAGGGTAATAGAGTGGGGAAAAAAATGGAAAAGGCATTTTATGTAACTGTGTTCTACCAGGTTCTGCTTTTAGAGTGCTAAGATTTTCTATCTCATATGAAAGGAAGTTAGGGTCTTCAAATATCTTGAGGGTACAAACACAAGTCATAGCACCTCTTTGATTTAGCCAGGATCATCTGTTTTATAAGAGCTAACAAACCTCAGAAAATAAGTGCCCGAGCCTGTCATAAATAAAAATCTTTTCGTGGGTACTCATTTAATCAACTGTTGCCAAACAGCAAAATGCTGGAGTTTTTAGCAAATTGTTTTTCATAAAATAAACATCTTTATTAAAAATGAGATGGATTATAATTTCATATGGGAATAATGTCAGTCACATGTAACAACCAAGTTTAAACCAAAGCACAGAAAAGGTTGATTAAAAAATCCCCGTTGTACATTTATTCTGCCTCTTTAAAAAGAAAAAGAAGCAAGTTTTGTCTAAATCAGCTTGCTCATTATCAGAGGCATTGTCAAAAAAAAAAAAAAAAGTCACAAACAAGGAACTGCTGGAAAAAGTTCGGAGGAAAAATTCACATCAAATACTCTTCTTGAATGAGGAATAAGTAGCATTTTGTCAAAAGTTATTTACTGCTATGAATGAATTCTATCTGCATCTAAAATCCACTCACTTTTGAATTCAGACCAAGAAAACTAGTGAAAATACCTGGTGAAATGGATTTTAGAGAGGAAGGAAATCTGGTCGTCTATATACTGTCCTTGGATTGGTAATATCCACAGTAAACTGGACTTCTCAAGTCCCCAAGCAACCAGATTCTTAAAACTCCCTTATCTGTCTGCAAAGAACGGTTCAGCCCAGACAATTTTTAAAAATGTATATATTGCCAGTTCTAGCTGCTTGAACCAGAAACTCAGGCCAGGAATGTAGTGCCGCCTTCTTCCTGTGCCTCATACGATCTCCTGTGGCTGAGGAAATTTCAAAGCAATGCTGCTTCCATGAGATTTACAGGCATCTGTCTCAGAAGCAATGCTTTTCTTTGACTAAGATATTACACTGAGCTCATTGATTTTTCTAAAGTGCCACTATCCTGGCTTCCCCTTTGGTTTTTTCTATTAAGGGATATTTTGCTTTTTCCATATTTTCAATAACAGAACTTTCTCATTTTTATGATGGATTTACAGGTGAACAGAAAACACATTTTCCAGCAGAGTGGCATCATAACATTTTTGCAGACATGTTCCCAGCGAGGTGCATCATTTAGAATCATGGAGTATAAAGCTGGAAGGTCATTCTTTCCCAAATGGGGGAATCTAGAACTCCAGAATTGGTAGTGTCTTTTCACTTCTGCAGGTTTCACAAAGGGACACCTCAGTAACCCTGAGAAGCCTATTCACAATTTTACACATTTCCCCAGCAGAGGCATCCTTAGTAAATGGATCCAGGCTGACTTGGATCTTCTCTGCTTTCCCGTTAAGTGGTGACCCCGAGGACGTAACACAGCAGAATGGGTATACAAAGTATGAAATTTGGCCACATGCAATCAGCCCAGAAATACCCCTTAAGCTAAGAGGGATCCTTTCCTCATTACATCTTTCTCCCAAATTTTTACTGTTTCGATTATTGTTCATTTTGTCCAGTTGTTTATTTACTGGACTAAATTTCAGGAGAAGATCCACAGTATTACTCTAAGACTGTAGCCTCCACTGTCAGCCCCAAGTGTACATCTCTCTAGAGAAAAATGTGCTTATTTTTCAATCGAAGAAGTTTTTCTTAGCTTAATGGAAGTTTATCTTCTTTGGCTTGATTCTTCATGGATGTAGAAATCAACTGGTCACTCTCTCCATAAAAAAGCTTTCATGTATTCAGTTAATAGCTTCATTATTCTCCACTATTTCTGCTGATTCCCACAGCCCCTTATCATCTTGTCTCTGGCCGGGTAACCCTATTCTCCCCCTTTACGGACCTGTTATCACACGAACGTTTCTGTGCGGGGGGCTAATCCTCTGTGAGCTTTCTTCTTCCTGACTTCTGAGCCAGTAGAGTTTTCCCCATATGTGTCTGAGATGATCCACTCTTGTCTTCTGGACACTTTTAGCCACATCTCCAATTTGTAGGTATTGTTCAGACCTCTCTCCATCTACTCTCCTTAGAATAACATCATGTCAGTTCAGCCTGTATTATTGCTCAAATGTCTTACGTAAAGTTCCACACACCTGTATGTGTGTCAAGTACATAGTGTACTCAGTGTTCACTAGTTTGTAGTTTTGGAGGGAATAAGAGAGAATCCGTGGGCCCGGAAATGGCACTTGGGAACTCCAATCCCAGGCTCCATAAATAAAAGACATCTAGTCTTATGTGTGGACAACATAAATCAAACTAAACATGTAAGATTTGTCTTTCCTTTTCTCTCTCCCTCTCTCTTGCTTTCACTTGCTTCCTTCCTCCTTCCTTCCTTCATTGCTTTTGGTTGGTATATAGAGCATGCCAGCATGTTTGAGAACAATTAATGAGGTGATCTTTTATGAGTGTCTGTCGGTGCTCCAAAAGGAAGTGTCGGTGCTCCAAAAGGAAGTGTCGGTGCTCCAAAAGCACTCTGGGAGTGCTTTTACTCTCCTCTTGGACAAAGTAGCACTGCTGTCCACAGACAGAGTGAGCTCTGAATTCGGGGGTAATTAACCTACCTTCTCAACCCCTTTGATTATCAATCCTTTAGGTCAGCGCTTCTCAAACATTAATGGGCATCCAAACTGACCGGGGCTTCTGCTAACCATTCAGCACGTCTGGGTGGGTTCTGACATCTGAGATCCCAACAAGCTCCAGGAGCTGCGGATGCTGCTCAGCCATGGACCATATACTTTGAGAAGTAACGGCAAAGAACACATGCCTTCTTTTTTTTTTTTTTTTTAACATGCCCACCCATTTTTTTTTTTTTTTTTTTTTTTTGGTTACGCGGGCCTCTCACGGTTGTGGTCTCTCCCGTTGCGGAGCACAGGCTCCGGACGCGTAGGCTCAGCGGCCATGGCTCACGGGCCCAGCCGCTCCGTGCATGTGGGATCTTCCCGGACCTGGGCACGAACCCGTGTCCCCTGCATCGGCAGGGGGGGGGGCGGACTCTCAACCACTGCGCCACCAGCGAAGCCCTTTAGTTGCTATTTTAAAGGGAGCCAAGGGAGTCTATACAGTGAATGTTTATGTGGCAAGGGCAAGCCCTGGGCTACTACTGAGCTAAAGGCAACAGAAAGTTGACCATGAGCCAGGGGCTAAATTCTGGCCACACTACACTTTCAGATGATTAAAGGTCTCCCCTTTATCCTTCTAGACTACTCCCCCTGCCCTGGGTATAGATAGCTCATATCTGCAAGTTGGCTAATGTTTGATAGAAAGTCAATGGATTGGAGTTCAATTTGTTACTCACAAGGCTTATGTTCCCTTGCCAGTACTTATGCAGAGAAGTCCTACAAACCCTAATGGTCAATCTCAAATTCATCACTTGGAAATAAGATTCCTTTCTGGTCAGCACCATAGAATATTGTAATCAGCCGACCTCTGAGATTTAAATATAGGCTCCACTGGCAGTAAGGGAGCATATCATCTTTCAGGAAAGATTTCAAATAGAACAACTGTTCTTAAAAAAAGATTTTTGCTCACTGTGACGTTTGATTTTGGTTTTGATATATCAGCAGCATCTATTTTTATTTCATTCAGTGTAAAAATCCCTTTCAGCACTCCTAGGGGGAAATACATATTCAGGTAAAAAATTAGAAGTGA